GAAGATCAAGAGAAGGGGATGGGTATTCAGGTCAGAGACCTTCTGTTTATGTTGGAGGCGGATGGACGGGCGACCAGGCATGTGCAGAGAGGCTACCTGAAGGATCCCAGAGAGGATCGCGATCGAAACTGACTGGGTCATAAATGTTTGTAATCTTATTTTCTTATGCCCCTAATTTTTGTTGGCCCATGGGAGCCCTGTGGCTCCGGGCATCAGGAGTTCTTGCATTCTCTGCGTGTGTATGATGGCGTTGGTTTATGGGGGTTTTCAGGTTGTCAGGCCATGATCTTTAATTCCACTCAACTACAGGTTGAGCATACATCTTGAGAGGATAGAGGAACCAGGGCCTTTTTCATACCTCAGTAAATTACTCTCGTCGCTCTTGGATAGTTTCCTCTAGCGCAAGGCAATAAATGAGACTTGCTTTGGATCATATTAATTCTCTACTATCATATTCTATGTGTCTGGTTCTCCCGATTATAAACATCCAAGTGAAGATCGCTATTTAAATCTTGTAGTTCTCACAGCCACACGCTAGTCAGTCAATATAGCTAGTTAACTAGGTGCATATCAAATTACTAAATTTGGTTGGCGTTAAAGATGTCCAGTTTAGGCAATTTAGAGCCGAGGCAGTCAAAGGTACGGAGAGTACCCTGCCAATCATTGGATATCAATTCATAGATATGTTGTCTGTTATTAGCATTGGTGTCTACCTAGGCTGTTTGGATTGCCTCACTTTTGAGATATCTCTTACTTGGGAACTTAAACCAGTAACTGTAACCTAGGTAAATGACAAGGCAACCTGTACATAGATATATAAGGTCTCATTTCCTATAGTCTCTATACAACCCCTTCTTCCCGATCGATTTTTTCCACTCTTATATGAAACCATTAGCCCATCGAAGACTAACTCATTAGCGTCTAGTTCTAATATGCCTGTACGCAATTGGCTTGCGTATTTCCCGATTTAGATGCTGACTCAGTGGGAATGTCAGGTGGTAACTATACGGGCGATTTCCTGGATCTCCTAGGGGCTGTAATGTTTGATATACTCTTCGATACTGGTATTCTTGACCGCAGGTGTTCACCGCGCCTTGTGGATTGGATTCGGCTAAGCCAGGGCTTGGACGCGATGCTCCATTTCCGGTGGCGGGCCCTGGGGGGGCCCCTCAAGGCCCATCTAGGACTTTAGATCCTTTTAATTACATTCATGGCTGTATTGGAATGAGAAGGTAATATCCGCCTTTCTCCTTAGAGGCGCATGGGCCTCTGGGTTGAGGTTTTTCCATGTATACTATAGGGAATAGGCCGAATATCGTATAACACAGGTATTTAACGATCGAGAAACTTAATCAAGAAGTAAAAAGAACAAGATCATCATAAATTAGCCCGAATTAACTGTATTCCAGGCGGCGAGTGTAATTCTATAGAAGATAATACGAATTAAGAGGAGCAAAATCCCAAATCTCAAATCTCAAATCCCAAGTTGATCGGCAACGGGTCCCAACTCTCCGACTCTTCCATCATCACTGACCTTTGCCTCCAGGCCCTTCCCTCCCCACCTCGTTTACCACAGATGTCGCCAAGTTCCCCAATGCTCTTTGCTTCACCTCCTTGTCTTGAAATTGTCGAGGAAATGCAACGAATTTGAAACTGTCTTTCCCATCCTCCCACCGCCTCAGCCCGTCATCTTCACGTCTCCAGAGATCTCCCTCCGGACACGCTTGTCAACTCCAATCTCTGTTGGTTTGGTTCTTCTCTGGCTGGCTAGTCCTGCCTTGAGATCCTCGTATCCACCCAGGAAGCCTGACGCGCGACATCAACTAGCGGTCACAAATTAGACCAGTCTTCTCTCCACAACCTTCATACCGTTCGTGTGACGGGATACCTTCGTGCACAATGTCCACTCCGTCTACTGCCACTGCAACGCATCCTTCTCATCATCAGGCTTACGGATATCCTCACCATCCTTCGTACCAACCGAATACCTCGTACCCGACTTCGACCACGGCCGCAGGGACTCGCCTTGCGAACCCTTACGCTATTTCCGTCCCCTCCCCGACAACGACCACCCTTCCCTACACCCAACCGCCGAGAATTCTCCCCGCGACAACAACTCCGTCTGCTATGACCAATCAGAGTGGTTCCAGTGTGGCTCCCTCTGTTGGAGGTCGGAGAAAGAAACCAGATTGGACCGAGTTCTACAAGAATGGACTTCCTAAGGAAGTCATTGTGATCGATGACAGTCCTGGTCCAGAGCCATCCAATGGTGCCGCCGCGCCTCCTGCAAATACTTCTGCCAGACCACCTCCTGCGGCTGCTCAGCCCGCTGGGAAGAGGCGGCGAACGGGGATTGAAACCGCCTATGACCTGGGCCACTATGACCGCCCGTCATTCTCAATCAATCCCCAACATTACGGCGAGGAATCCTCTGCCACGTCCTTATCGACCGATCGAACCGCATCTTTACACACAACAGCTCCAACTTCGCTTGGTTCGCAGGGCAGTTCGGGGGCGAGCAATGGTGTATACTATGAGGATGGCTCTGTCGGTCAAAAGCGGAAACGCGCTACTCGGAAATCGACTCGCGACGAGCAGAAGCGACGAGAGTTGGAGACCGCAGGCGATGCTTTCCTGAGTTATGTCCCACCTCCGAAGCCGCCAATCAAGGCAAAGGATGTTCCTGTGCCAGTCGTTCGCGATGTGAGTGTTTTATCTACCGTGTCTTTCGTGCAGGTCCACTGACAGAATTTGCTCGATCAGTACACCAGTTCCCAGATCAAGAAGTTTGACGATGACGATGGCCATTACATTGTCACACCCGACACGCCATTGACAGATCGATGTAAGTAAAAGTATCTCTGGCATCTTGTCGACCATGCTAACCTTTCTCGAGATTCTGTGATCAAACTTCTAGGTCAAGGTACATTCGGCAAAGTAGTCGAAGCCTATGACAAGCAGCGCAAGGCTCGCTGTGCAGTCAAAATCATACGCTCGATCCAAAAGTATCGTGACGCATCTCGAATCGAGCTGCGAGTCCTGTCAACTCTGGCTTCGAACGACAAAAGCAACCGCAACAAATGCATCCACCTTCGGGACTGCTTCGACTTCCGGAATCACATTTGCATTGTCACCGATCTACTAGGACAAAGCGTGTTTGATTTCCTCAAGGGGAATGGCTTTGTGCCATTCCCGAGCAGTCAGATCCAGCAGTTTGCCCGGCAGCTGTTCACAAGTGTTGCCTGTATGTTCTCCAACACTTCTATATCTGCATTTCAGACCACTGACCTATTAGTCCTTCATGACCTAAACCTTATCCATACCGACCTCAAACCCGAAAACATCCTCCTCGTCAGCAACGCCTACCAAACCTTCACTTACAACCGCACTATCCCATCATCTTCCCACGCCACAGCCCGCAACGCCCGACAGCGCCGCGTTCTCCTCGATGGTGAAATCCGACTTATCGACTTCGGTTCGGCCACCTTCGATGACGAATACCACTCATCTGTCGTCTCTACCCGTCACTATCGGGCTCCTGAAATCATATTGAACCTGGGTTGGAGCTTCCCATGTGATATCTGGAGTATTGGGTGTATCCTGGTGGAATTCTTCACCGGAGATGCCCTGTTCCAGACACATGACAACCTTGAACACCTGGCGATGATGGAATCCGTCATTGGCAATCGAATCGACACTGCTTTGGTGAAGAAAGTCATGGCGGGCCGAGGTGGTAGTATCAACTCTGCTGCTAAGTAAATAGCCCCGCCCCTTCAATATTTTTGTGATAGGGACTAACTTTGCCAGGTATTTCAATCGAAACAAGATCGACTATCCCAACGCTGAAACGACCCGAGCCTCGCGGAAGTATGTCCGCGCGATGAAGTCTTTGACAGTAAGTGTCCCCCATATCTACCTGTGGGGCTTTCTTTTGACTGATTTCGTCTATAGGAGTTCATCCCTACCAACACGCCATTCAACCGTTCATTCTTGGATTTGCTGCAACAAATCTTTGTATACGATCCCAAGAGCCGGATCACTGCAAAGGAGGCATTGAAGCACCCGTGGTTCAAGGAGACACTCGTCGACGATGGCACAGAGGCTTACCGGATCGGCCAAGGATTGCATCGCCAAGCACGCACTTAGGCCTCAATCCACGCAGCTACAGTAGCCAATATTCGGCTTATTCAACGGCATCAGAAGGGAATGCACCGGCGTGAACAGGATCCAGCTACGAATGGAAGGCTCATATCTTGAGGGTAATCTTTTTCTCTATCGCGAATGGGACGGAATGGTGTTTGCACTTCGGAAAATCATGATCACGATGCTTTCTTTCTTCTCTTTATTATTTTATTTTCGGTCCCTGGGGGGGTTCCCTTCAATACCTGCAGGTGTCACCTCATGCAGGCGTCGGCTGCCTTCGTGACACCACATGGCAGGGGTATTGAACCCTTGGCCCTTGAGCAACCGGAATCGCTGCATTTATCCTTGAGGGACCTATCCTCTGCTACGATCCGGGTTTACTTTATTTGCTTTATCTATCTTTCTATCCATTCTTAAAGGCGCCGGTTACATGTTATTCTGCTTTTCCCGTCCTGTTTATGGAATCCGGCTTCGGGAGCCCTGGGAGGGTCTAGGCTGAGTCCGGATGATTATACCATTTGATTGTTTGTGGCGTCTATTTGTTAACCGTATGGTGTGTGTATATATGTGTTTCTTTCGTTTCAATTTTCTAATTCTTCTCAGATCTGTATATGACTGCCTTTCGTCTCGGTTTCTTATACATCGGAGGATAACCCGAGCCATGTGCGCCAGGGGTTCTACATGATGACAAGCTCACTTGTCAATTGACATTGCCAGTTTAGGGCAAATATGAATTACGAATACTTGACTCCATCAATGAAACTGCAGATCCATATATGGCGTGCGTGAATTGGCCGATCACTAGATCAACATCCGGGGAACTCCACCAATTCCCCTCTATCCAACAACTCACCACCATGGACTCCCAATGGCAAGCAGAAAAGCTGACAATCCCCAAATTCCACGAACAACTCCGTAAAGACCCCTCCAATGGCCCAAAGCTAGTAAAAAAATACCTCTCAGCAATCACCCAGCACAACGGGACCCTCAAAGCCCTCATCAGCATAAACAGCACAGCCCTAGAAACCGCCCTCCAAAAAACCACCACAACACTCACCCTCAACCAAACCAACAAACCCTTCCCAGCACTCCACAGCATCCCCCTAATCCTAAAAGACAACTACAGCACAACCGACCAACCAACAAGCGCCGGCGTACTCGCCCTGCAAACCCTGCAAACAACCACCGACAGCGCCGTCGTCGCGCACCTCCGCGCCGCAGGCGCAATAATCCTCGCCAAAGCCAACCTCCACGAATTCGCCCTCCAAGGAATAACCCGCTCCTCGCTCGGCGGGCAAACCCTGAACCCGCACGACACGACCCGCACCCCGGGCGGATCCTCTGGCGGGACCGCCGCGGCGCTAGCGGCGGGCTTCGGGCTCGTCGGGTGCGGGACCGACACGATGAACTCGCTGCGCTCGCCGGCGTCCGCGTGTGGGGTTGTGGGGTTTAGGCCTTCGACGGGGAGGGTCTCGTGTGTGGGGATTGTGCCTGTTTCGCGGACGCAGGATGCGGCGGGGCCGATGGGGGGGTGTGTTGGGGATGTGAGGATTCTGTATGGGGTTATGAAGGGGCCGGATGGGGATAGTATATCCTCTTTGGGGGTAGGTGAAGGGTTACCTCGGAGGGGGGTCGACAGGTTCGGATTGGAGTCTTGGAGGCTTATTTCCAGCCTGAAATCTGTACAGATGAATCGGAATCGGAAGCGGAGTATATCGTCGAGAACGAGATCGTGCAGGATGTTATCCGGTCGAGTTTGGATTCGATACAGGAACAAGATGCGGATATCACCTTCGTGCCTATCGCCCCGTCCAGTCATCCGGATTGGAGTCCTGAAACACTGCTCGCGAAGGGCGATACACAGGCTTTCGAGTTCAAGCACTACCTCGACGAGCTCCTGCAGTCGCCGCTGGTTTCGTCGACACCGCACCGATCACTGGAATCCATTGCGCAGAGCGGCGAGTTCGATCCTCATGCCGTGACGCATGTTTTCTCTGCGGCATTGGAGGATCCCGAGACGTTTTCACTGACGAGCGAGGCGTACCGAAGTCGACTGGAGTATATTGCTGCTCTCAAAGAGTCTGTGGCGGAATGTTTTGATAGATATGATATCGACGCGCTGGTGTATCCGCACCAGAGACGGCTTCCTGTGAAGATTGGTGCGAAGAAGCAGTCTGGGCGGAATGGGGTTTTGGCTGCGTTGACGGGGAGGCCTGCTATTTGTATTCCCGGTAGGTGATTCTACGTATTCGGTGTTTGGTATTGGACTAATATAGGAAATACAGCTGGGCGGAGCCCTAAGACTGCGTCTGCTGTGCTTGGCGTTCCTGTTGGGTTGGAGCTGATGGGCCGGCGTTGGGGAGATGATGAATTGCTTGATATTGCGGAGCGAATTGAAGGGATTATTAAGGGTAGAGTGGTGCCTGTTATTCATTGAATGTCTATATGGACAACAGTAATGACATTTATAAACGGGAAACAGGTATATATATTTTCTGACCTATGCAAGGATATGTGATATGCACGCTGCGAAACACCAAAGATCAAAACTTACATTCCGCGATTGAACTCCACCATGCCTAGGTCACCACCACGACCGTGGAACTCCTCCTCAAGGCTGTTAACATTGATAGCCTGGCGAGCCGGGAACGCAGCGAGCGCAAGCGGCAGCGCGAAGAGCGAAGTACCCAGAATCAGCGCCAAGTTAATAGGCAGAACCATGCGGGGACGGGCACGCAGCCAGTCCGTCTTCTCGAGACGAACGAGGATAAGCGGCGGTAGGACCATGATAGGCGTAGCGTTCAGGACACGGGAGATGGCCGTCTCGCCGACGGCAAGGGTAGCCGCCTTCTTGCTCTTGCCGATGCTCTGAACTGGCTCTGCGTGCTCACCGAGCTCGCGCTTGGCACGTTCAGCCTCTGAAAGGACAGGGTAGATGTCAATGCCGTGGCGGATCTCATTGCCGCGCATGAGGAAGACGTTCAGGGCGGAGGCGGAGGCGACAGCGGCGAAGGGGACGAGGCGGGAGAGAATGAGGCGGGTATTTGGGGAGATGCTCTTGAGACGGGGGACGAGGGCGTTCAGACCGACTGCGACGGAGCAGGAGGCTGAGACGGCCAGGAGGTATGACTTGCCAATTTGCGACATGGAGAGGGGGGTAGATTTGTTGGCGTTTGCGTTGTTGACGGCGACATTGAGGGATTGGTTACCGATTTGCCAGAGAACGGTTCCGGTTGTCTATATTGTCAGTACATTGTTCATATGTTGCATATGCAGAGGTGCTCACCTTCAATCCTGGGGTCAGCATGCCTGCTGTGACGACCAAGTTCGAGAGCACGTAGCACGACATGCGGAAAGGCAAGAAGACGGGCATTCCAGTATCTGATCGGTCGCGAGTTAGCCAATGGCTATTACTTGACATTGAACGAGCCCATACCAGGGTGCAATGTCGCATCAACGATCTTCTTCGCCGACCACAACTCCGGTGTCATGACCGGGATGCGGTTCTGCTTGTAAGAAGCAATGAGGTTCTTGGCGTTTTCAAGCCCGGCGGACGAAACAAACATGGTGCTAACATAATTGACATGATCAGTATACGCTGGGGATCTCTCAATGCCACTAATCTCTTCTCTTTGAACTTACCGAGGATCAGAAAGGTCGGCGGCATGGCGCACGCGACCCCAATAGGTCTTCAGATCATATGGCGACGCAGGCAGGTCCCGACTGCCAGGGAGAGAGGCAGACATTGGAGCGAGTGAGCGGCGAAGCACGAATGACTGGAATGAGACCAAAGAGTGTGAATGGCGCGCAAAAAAAGAAAGAGCGCAATATGACTCCGCGCGGAGAAAAGTGCTTTTTGATAAAAAGGCGGTGAGCCGATAAGTGAGAATTGACCAATCAGACTGTAGCCCGATCTATACAATTCACCGGCCCGGGGTACCTGATAGGGCTTTTTGTAAAGGGTCTACTGTAAACACGGTGAGGTTCAGTCAACTAGGAGGCCAAGAGGAGTAAAATTGAGAAACTGACTGAGAAAGAGGGATCGATGGGCTTTTATGAAATTAAATAAGTCGGGCCTTCTTGGGGTTAGACCCCGGGCCGGCTCCTCTCCCGAGACCGGTTAGCTACTCCGATATGCGGGGGGTGGTTATGCAGGCTACAAATAATACAAAATGTGCGGAGAAGTATAGAAATGATTCTATTCTGATTTCGTCCAGGGTTGTGAGGGAATAGTACATAGGTATCATGAGGGTAATGGGGTTCGGGCGATTATGAAATGGGGCAGGGTGGCCCGGCTAATGCAGAGTTTAAGAGAGCCCGATTGGGGAAAGAACACAGAAGAAATCAAAAGGCACCGGTCTTTCCAAGACATATATGCAATCCAAGATGGCAGTCAACGCACCGGGTTTACCGGAAGCGGAATGACTTGTGGGCCAAGGGAGAGGGAGGGGCTTGGACCGTGGGAACATAAGTTGTTCGGGCACGGTGTTGTCGGGATGGTGTTTGAGCACAAAAGACGCAGACATAGACGGAGGGCAGGTTTGCACGCTCCAATCCAACGCATCTGGTATGCAGCCAATGTGTACACGATTCACTGGGAAAGTTAGTACAATCGACTTTGAAATCAAGGCCGATAGAGGAACTCACCATTGAATCATGAGATGGCCACCATTATCCATCGAGCGGCAGACACATCGTGTACCGTTACTGGGGTTGCTGTGACGCTCTGTGCCTGGGGTTGCAAGATCAGGGTCGGTCAAAGTCGTGGGAGAAGCATTGTGGCGGGGATGTATGTCAAAATCACTGCCAAGGCGGGGTGGTGATGAGCGGAGATGAGTAAAGGTGTGTGATGACCGCGAAAGTCGGTTACCAAACGCGTTCGTGGATCTTGGTCCCCGGCCGCGTTCTTTGAGGACCTGTCGGAGCGCAGATTGAGCATCACCACTTTCATCATCCTCTCCGGGTAACAAGTCTGATGCCACGCTACCCCGAGTATATGTCGAGTCCGAGTGCAGCAGAGACGAATGCCGTTTGGGTGTCCGCTTAATATCAGGAGATCCACGATACGTTGCTCGCCCGCCTCCCATAGAAGAGCCAGCCCAGGGTGACATCCGACCCGAGTGTGATGAGCCGACGGTGGAAGCATAGGAGCCCTTTGAAAGAGGCCGGGAGCCCGAATCACTCCGGGATAGTGGACGCCTTGAGATATCATAAAGTGAAAATGACGACTGAGCGCGATGCAACACGGGATATTCCGAGAACTCAGCTGAATCAGATTCACTCTCGGTTGCAGAGCCATCCAGATCAATCCCAGTCAGGGGATCGGTCAGCCCTGTGGGGGCCTCACTGAGGGGCTCCATTTCAGCCTTTGCACGGCCATCTCGACCGATGCGAAGCACTACAGACGACGAGCGCGGTAAGGAGCCGGTGGCTGTCGTACTAGATCGTGTCAAGGGGGCTGGACGCGTGGACTTTACTGGAGACGAACGCCCTTTACTTGGGCTCTTTCGGATTCCGTTGGTGGATGCCATGAAACCCCCGGCCTGACTGTGCGGCCGGGATGAACTAGACAGGCCATGGTGGGTCGCACTGCGGGTTAGAGCTGGTCGTATTCCCCTCGGTGTGTAGTCGTCATCCTCCTCCTCGCTCTCGCCCGGGAAAACCGTGAAAGGATCGGATCGGTGGCCATTGGGTGCCTGTGCTCGGATAAGCTCCTCCCGCCTGGACTCTTCTGCCTGGTGGTGATAGGGCTGTCGAAGGCCACGAAGAGACCGTGTCTCTGGTGTAAGTTGAGGACCTCCGAATCTCCGAGCTGGGGAACTCAGAAACAGAGCTGGATCCTCAGCCTTGGTGACCGGGAGCCGGGGAGAGGTAGAGAATGGCTCAGGAAATAGGGCAGCATCAGTGGGTGGTGCTGACATTCCAAAACCGTTGCCAAAGTCGGGAGCATCAACTGAACCAATGGTTGGTAATTGGGGGATGTGTTGTGGGTAAACGGAAGTCTGACGAGCATTGAGATTATTCCCGTTGCTGGGCAAAGGAACCTCATTCGTATTGTCTAGATCATGATCCCAGAACAGTCGTTGCTGTGGGAAGAAAGGCGAGCCAGTGGGATCCAATGAAGCCAGCTGAAACAAATCGGGCGAGGATTGGAGGTTGCCAAACATCCGAGGAGATGCTCCAAGAAGACGACTGGGTGTTTCCAAATGACCTCCCATGCCCGGCGTTTCTCCTTGTGTCTGTCCATCGGGGTGATCCAACTCGGGGACTTTTCGTCTAGATGCACTTGTCGGCGGCGGGGTTTGCATCGAGGCTGCTGACTTGGCCGATCCCGTTGTCCGAGGGTAATCCTCGCCCATACTCGGCAGAGGCTTCACCGGGCGAATCCGTCTGGCCGTATCGGTCTGGTCCGAGGACCTCCCCCTGTAACCAGTAGTCTCCCCATTGTGACCTTTCAGTGAATTCGAGCCTAGACCAAACTTCTGCGGCGTGCGGAGGAGCTCCGGGCTGGAAGCATAAGGATCGGAGGTATCCCAAGTCACCCGGGGGTCAAAAAAGCTGGATTCGAGTTTCGGGGTGTGAAACGAGTCGAAGGTATTCGGAGTCCTCGTCGGAGTTTGAGGTTCACCGTTGGCATAGCTGAAGCTAAACATAAATGAATCCATGAGCGGTTTTGTCACATAGGCATACAGTACAGAATTGTAAAAATAAAAAGAATAGAGGACTACAATGTGATACCCCCACAAGGGGGTGTCATCAAGGGAGAATGCATACCTGTGGACAGGGTGATCCCAACTCATGTCAGCAACACAGACCCAGTAACCATTGAAGATCAAGCTGCCAGGCAACCTTAATTGATTGAGAATGACAGGAATTGGGGACAGCAAATAGGATCATTGGAGTTAATTCATATTGTGTGTTGGGTAGGTCGGCAAAGAGTAAGGGAAATGATATCGGAAGGAGAGTCGGAGGGGAGCGAAGGTGTTTTTTGGGATTTGCTCTGTTTGTCGGATTCCTTTTTTTTTTTTTCAGGGAAGAAATTTCGTTTTTCCTTTTATTCCTTTTTCTTCTTTTCTTTTTCTTTCTTTACGTGGAGACTCGAATTTATTAAATTTTTTCATTAGAATCCACTGATCCACAGCTTCGATGTTCCATTCGAAGTCCAGGGAGTATGGAATACAATGTATGTTGTGCTTCATGCAGGAACAAAAGAATGTGAATCATCTCATATATCATGTTCATACATCCAGCGCCTTGGAAGGTCAAAGTCAGACTCTCCCCTTGCCGATCTCGACCTATAATAGCAAGCCTGGGCGAGATTGAGCCGTCGGGGATGCCGGTCCAGCTCTGTTTAGGATCAAAGACCAATCTCACCAATGACGACATGTAAGATGTGGAGACTCCGGATATGATACATATCTTTGTACTTTCTATGGGGTCGATATTGGAGCTTAGAGCTTCATAGCTTTAGAATATCAGAATACCAGAATGTAATATTGGGATATCCCACTTTGAGAACCACCTCATGGATGAAAGGGGGAGGTCCGACGTGTTCAAGGGTGAATTAGGGTTTGGAGAGCTAAACCCCCTAGCAAACCTTCCTGGTATCTCTTTGTGCCCGAAGATTATATCAGCTACTCCATGTTCTTCCCTATACTCAGACTGGCTTTGACTCTTGTTGTCTATATTGTATACTCCGTACTCCGTACACTCGGACGGTGAATTGCCCAAAAGAGCTTAGCGTGCCTGTTCTGGTTTAGCGCGTCCCTGCGTATTACTATCACAGTGCGTGGTTCCAAAGTACAACATATGTTATTGTCTTTTCAGATATCTTTTCAGATGGCTTTTCAGCTGTCTTTTTTCCCTCCTCATTTTTATAGCTAGAGGATTTAAATGTATATCACTTTTGACTATACTTTTATTGAGCGGGCTCATTATATTCGGAGCTACAACTTCCTAATTAGGCTTAGTAGCTAACTCTCTTTCATCAGTCTTTCATCATTCAAGTCTTTGTGTCTCTACAATATCACCCTTTCTTTCTTATCATTCACTATGGCTTCATCTATTGACCCGCAGGATCGGGCTCGTCCAAGAGACAAGTACAAGGAAGCAGTGGTATCCCTTATCCATGAGCTCAAGTCTCGGTCCAAGCCTACCTACACGTATACTGAGCTCGCTCAGTTCCAAGTGTCCGTCCAATCCATCGACCCGGAAGATCATGAATTCATAGATTCGGAAGCTTGTCTCTTCCAGCCACTTATACAGAAAGAGCTTAAAACATTCAAACTCGATAAAAAAGCACTTTCTGAGGTCGGTTCTCGCTGTATCGACGAATTCGATGATACGTTTTATGACGTGACAGATAGGATTCCTGAGGATTCCCAGATATGGACGAGAGCTGGTCAAATTGTATTCTATCTTGAGGTCTTTGAGTCACAGTCTGACAGGAAGAGGGGGAGATCGACCTCCTCCATACAGGACCTTTCGCATTGGGATAATATCAAGTGAGTCTCTGTAAAGGATATTCCCGGGCGCACGTCTCCTCCGCTCGGCCAAAAGACCATTAAGTCAGAGCGAGAGCTCAGACATGCCCAGGACCAATATATATAGTAGCGCACAAAGTTATCCGTGGCAGTCTCGTTCTATGCTTAATTACCAAGTCGCTAATATAGGTTAACTATTAGGGCCGAAAACTCTTTCACCGATACTCCAACAGGAATGTTATCTGGTATTACAGTTGGACATTCAAAGCCTCAGGATATTCTGAGATGGAATGCCCATTCTATCTGCCAATGGCTTGACGATTTCAAGGATCCGGATCCGAAGACCACTCGCCCTCACGTCAAACTTGTGATTCTTACTGGTACAGAGGCTAAAGAAAATGAACTACTCCATGGCGAGTTAGCATCTATTATAAATACCCTCTACTACCGTCTCGAACAGCCAGAATTCGAGGATACCTCATTCTTCCCAGTCCTTGTCATCTCGCTCTTTGGGCCAAGGCACGGTCGTCTCCTACAGGCTCAATTCGATAATTCCGGCTTACTTGTCCGATCCTCGCCGATCTATAATTTTGTGGACAGTGATGAAAAGATGCAGCTTTTCGTTCGCTACAACAATTGCAAACCCCGAGGCCCAGAAATAGAGCCTGTTCTAGTTGAAGAGCAGTCGTCATCTCCTCGCTTGTCAAGCCTCGCTCTTCGGATCAAGCAAAGAAAATCTTGATCCCCAGAAATGATTTCTGGCTAACCAAGGCGCTTCGATACCACTGTCTCGAGGACTTTAGCCTGGGTGTTGATGAGCGCTACCGGGCGGTAGGATTTAGCTACTTGGTAGTCTTGATCGCCCGCTTTGCGTGATACAACTGTGGTGGACTGTTGGAAGTGGGTGTACGAAGTGTGTGGGATTATGGCCGATGCGAATGTATGCATCGAATAGTGGGGTTTGCAGGGCCGATGGGATCCTGATCAGGTTATGCCACGAGCTTTTGGGCAGCGCATCCTCGCCTGGTGCTTCGCTGGCAGATGCCAAAAGAACGGCTTCCTCAACCTCATGCTCGATAACTCGGTGGAAGAAGATTTGATCCGGTGGGTAATCGTAGTGAGCAATATCTGAGAGATGTGCTGGCGGTGGTGTAGGAATGAAGGCCTAGCGGAAGGCCCGGGCCATCTAAGTCTATACTCATCCTAATTAATTAAACCTCTTGAGGTAAATCTTATTGAGAATTATCCTATCGTCCGCCCTGTAGCCACAATCAGCGTTTTAAAGCGGATACAATTAGATGAGGAGACCACCTGATAGTGTCAACGACATCGGAAAAATTAGGTTATCTTGTCAGGCACCACTTGAATCACTCTAACAATGTCATGGAACCTGGCGGAGAAGCTCACAGTCCCCAATTAATGCATTTCAACTAATATAGGAAGTATAGAGAGACAGAGGAGCGAAGAAAAAAAGGGATTTTGGCTAATAGCACTAAAGTCAATCGCGAGAGATCAAATCGTCCTTGTCAGTCCGGTCTCTAATAGGCCGCCCGCCAAGCGCCAGCGATGAGAAGTACCAAAAACATTGCTTTACTGAAACTCCAGTGCCCTCGTTGTCGATGATGGGTGAGTATTCCATCCGCCACATTCCGTTAACACAGATATATCGTAGGAATACAGTTTCTGTATAGGTGGAATGAAACCCATATGGAACCCTTTTGTCAATCATATATTCGGCTACTTGCCCAATGGTAGCACGCCACAGGCTATCATCCGAACGCCGCGCCGCCAGTCCGTGGTCATCAATCCAGGGGACTTTGAGCTCGCCTACAGCCTTGAGTGTAAAGGGGCGATTGTATCGTACCAGAGCAATATCCGGTGTCTTCCTGTAGGGAATACCAGCCGACTTGAAGTCAGCAAAGCGAATGTTCACGTTCTCCGCTCTGAAGACCGTCCCAAGAACTTGACCCACAGACTGTTGAAACCGTCCACGAAGGCCCATTTCATCGGCGATATATACATCTTCTCGCTTGATATCGCGGGCTTGAATTTCAAGATCAACGACAACCGAGGACCAAGGTTCGCTCGCTTTAGCGCTAACCTCTGACGTGAAGTTCGGCCATTGAGCTAGGTTGCCAATGTAGGCGATATCATGCATTGCGGAGGTTGTGGTCCTATGTGAAGCAATGAAAAGTTCAGGGAGAGGACTCTGGACTGCCTGGCCCGATGTAATCGGTGTTGGGTTCAAAGCCATTATGATGAGTTGATACTGAAAGGGGCTTTTTGTTAGTATACCAATTAAGCTTCACGTGAAATATCCCTGGTAAGACTCACATATGAAGATTAGACAGTTGAGGAAAAATGCGAGTAGAAATAGTATAGGATGGTAGTCTAGAGTGTAAAATAGCTATCAAAACACTTTGTTGGGATGTGGAAGCAATGGAAGGAAAAGGAGGTTCAAAGGCTGATACTAATAGACACTCCTAAACTTGATCAATTCCTTCTAAGTGCTGCCTGATGTATCCTAAACGGGATGCTTCTCATATTGGTTATGGTTACTTACGTCTCTAGAATTCGACAAACGAAAATTGGTACTACCACCTAAAAGAGACACTACAACTATTGTACGGCCCGGATAACTATTTCATTTTCTTCATAGGTAGTTGAAAACTAAACGGCTTATACTTTCTGCAGTCTATCTTGAACGAAATAAAAACTAGCTGCAGAGTGCTGTCGCGATCATATCGTTATAGGTACCACATAATAGCTGCACGTATATGTACCTATACGTGGCAAATGACCACTACAACAATAGAGATCATCCTAATATAGATGCCAAATGCAATTTACGTAATGAGTTCACGTATAACTAACTACTCAATAAGGCGGGGCTAAAGACATTCGGCCTGGTATATTGATAGATTACGAGGATAGTAACGAAATATAGCGATGTGTCTATTACCTGAAGATGGTTTAAAAGATTGATTAGAATAAATCTTCGCGTAGTCATTTGAATCTTCTAGTTCTGACTGAAAGCTAAAAGGAAATTGACATATGGTCGGAATAGGCAAGGACAATGCTAGAAGCCGAGTTAGACGGTTAATAGCAGATGGTTAAATGCCAATAGCAATCAATAGTAATCATCTCGCCGGTGAAGATTGACAGCGAGGCTCGAACTGCACTTAGCCTCCTTCTTGTTGGTCTATGTTCTTTCGAAGCTTATCCATATCCATGTCCACGGGCAGGTACCCTTGGTATCACACAAGACCCCCCTCAACTGGAACCGTACAGCCGCACCCGTACTATCGGCCATTATGCGCGTATGTTGACATCACATGATATGTTCTCCAGGACTGCCAGCTTGTTCCTCTCCCTCTTCTTTTTCCCATGCAATTGCTCTCTCTTCTCCTTGCCTCTCGATACCCTCCCCTACCCCCTCCTTTTCACGCTCACTATGTCCGAAATGGAAGCTCATCCAGTTCTTCCTAAGATGATTGATGAAAAGATCACTATACACTGCCCGGACTCTTTGAATAAACAATACGCTACTCTCTATCCCACTCGCACATGGCTCATAGTGGAAAAGCTGAGTGAGAAACCAACCCCGATTGACCCAGAGGATTTCGACGTTGGTATGGGCCCGGCATATACCGTTGGAAAATATCGTTGTCGCGATATTAAGAATGATGTCTATGCCTTTATGCGTATCTACAAACAGATTCCTCTGGCTGGTACTGAGCTTGACAACTTGGCGGTTCGGAGGAAACAGGCCTGTAAGCCACGCAGACATACGGAGCTAAGTGCCCTGAAGAGTTTTACAGAGAATGGCTGTACTGCTACCCCTAAACTCTTTGGGTATCAAATCGGTAAGCAAGATGAGAACGACCTTGTCCCCGGCGGGTATATCATATACCTTGTATGGGAAAAAGTCCGAGGAGATTCCCTTAGCTCTCAGGAGTTCTGGAGCCTTCCCTATCACCGACGACAAACCATCCGGAAGAACTTCAAAAATGCCTACATGTTTGTTATTCTGCGGCTTCATTATTGTATACACACAGCTAACTAGAATTAGGGAACTTCTGAAGGCTAAGTACAAGCCGCTCCGCTCAACTGCGAGCAACATCATCCTCGACAAAACCACAGGTGATATGTATGTTATATTCCATCTCTTATAATCTCTAATAACATGTTGAGTTCTATCTCTATAATCTCAGGCTAATAATACGCAGCAAAATCTCCGGTTTCAAACGGGCTGTCTACGTCCCCTCGGACACGAAATGGAAAGACTTCAACTTCGTGATGTTTTTCTTGGCCCTGAACTCCTCGCGTGACTATGAGCATATGGCGAAGGATGTCGAATTTGGAAAACATGGCTGGAGGTGGTGAGAAGGAAGGGCAATCCCCATCGCTTCGTCTCGTGCAGTTAACCAACTAGCTCAAAGAAGAATCCATCAAATCTCATGAACGCACACTGTTGGCACGTAATATTTGGAAAGAATGACATCTTTATATTCTCCTGCAATAAGATTATTTTCTTGATTGTCTACAAAGGGTGATTAATCCACACTCATCAATGAAGTTCTTAATGACATCCGGCAAGAAATTGGACAACTCTTCTGCGTTAGTCACTCGGACATCAAGGCACACGATGGCCAGGATAATTATGTGGTCATCGACGAAGTAGGCAATCACATAATTTGTTACCGTCTGCATGATTGTTTATTCTATGACTCTACGGATCGGCGACTATCTGCTGTTGCTTCATTGAATTGTTTGCTAGATAGATTTTGTTTGCAATGTTTGCAAAGGGACAGCTATATCAATAGGCTGCTTCCCACTTTGCAACTTGCTTCTTCTTTCTCTCCATCTTAGTTATTCTGTATTGAATGCATTCTTCTCTCTTAAAAGATCTAACACGTGAAATCCTTTCCCTCTCTAAAACTTAAAGTTTTAGGGCATCAATTGTGATGCAATCAGTTCTCCTCTTTCGTACTCATTGCCCCCAAAATCATCTTTCTGTCTCTACGTTGCAACATTATTACCCTTTCTTCCTTATTGTCCACCATGGCTTCTTCCTTGATTGATCCGCAGGAACGTGCTCACCTAAGAGACAAGTACAAGAAAGCAGTGCGGTCCATCGTCTATGAGCTCCAGTCTCGGTCTAAGCCTACCTATACGCATGCTGAGCTAGCTCAATTCCGAGTCTCTGTCCAGTCCATCGATCCAGAGGATCACACATTCACCGATTCGGAAGCTTGTCTCTTCCAGCCACTTACCCATGAAGAGCTTGAAACATTCAAAATGGATAGAGAAGCACTTCCTGGGGACGAGTATCACTACATCAACGAATTCAAGGACACTTTTCATGATGTTACAGGCGATGTTCCTGAAGATTGCCTCATATGGGAGAGAGCTGGTCAAATTGCCTTCTATATTGAAGTCTTTGAGTCACGGGCTGAGAGGGAGGACGAGAGGGAGGAGGAGGGGGGAGGAAGAGGAAGAGGAAGAGGAAGAGGAAGAGGAAGAGGAAGAGGAAGAGGAAGAGGAAGAGGAAGAGGAAGAGGAAGAGGAAGAGGGGAAGATCCACCTCCTTGATACAGGACCTCTCGCATTGGGATAATATCAAGTGAGTCTCGTTCTATGCTTAATGACTACGTCGCTAACATAGGCTATTAGGGCTGAAAATTCTTTTAACGATACTCCAACAGGAATGTTATGCGGTGTTAAAACTGGACATTCAAAGCCTCGGGATGTTCCGAGATGGACCGCCCATTCTATCCGCCAATGGCTTGACGATTTCAAGGATCCGAAGACCACTCGCCCTCACATCAAACTTGTGACTCTCACTGGTACAAAGGCTAAAGAAAATGAACTACTCCATAGCGAGTTAGCGTCTATTGCAAACACCCTCTACTGCCGTCTCGAACAGCCAGAATTTGAGCATACCTCATTCTTCCCAGTCCTCGTCATCTCACTCTTTGGGCCAAGGCACGGTCGTCTCCTATAGGCGAAGTTCGACAATTCTGGTACCTTACTTGTCCAATCCTCGCCGATCTACAATTTTGTAGATAGCGATGGAAAGATGGAGCTTTTCATTCGCTACAACAATTGCAACCCCCGAGATGGTCTAGAAATAGAGCCTGTTCTGGTTGAAGAGCAGTCGCCATCTCCTCGTGTTCAGCATCAAGCCTCTCCCTCCGGCTTGGACAAAGAAAACCTTGACCCTGAAAAATGATTTCTGGCTGTTAGATTAGAAATGGTTCCCTGGTAATACAAAGATAACGTTAATCCTATTGCGTAATATTGCGAACTTAAAGCGCCCTCCTAATAAGTACTCAATTACGCTAGATCCCTACATGAGCGAGCCTCAATGTTCTAAAGTCCAAGCGTACGATTTCCGTGAAGGTTAGCTGTGAGGAGATCAATCGTAGGCGATCTTCATGTCACTTAGAATGAAAAGCCGGCTCTATAAGGGAGCATATCATTCTTCAAGCAACACTCATAACACCGACCAATCAACGTATCTAGCTAGATCTACCTAGTGTTCCTATACCCAGACACGGACCTCTTTCTGGAGCTGAGCTGTATTGCGCAGCAAGCAATGATCATACTTGGCAAGGCTCTACGGCGGGTATGCTCTCAAGCAATCGACCATTGTAGTGTACCTCCACTCCAACATATCGTTCGCAGTTCGTTCGTTCGGACATTAGGTCGAGAGGATCGAGTCCGTTAGCGAGCATCGTGGGAGAGGGAGGTATTAGTACTGGTGGAGAGAATCTTCACGGTCCTTCCCAAAAGGGAAGGTGAAGGTAATGTCGTGCAAGACGTCAGATAAACTGAAGTTCGTAGATAAGGAAGACGTGTAGTGCTCCTGCCTATGCTGGCTCCTTCCCCCTGTGGCTCTTTCCCTTTCCCTTTCCTTTTTTTCCCTCTTCTCCTATTCTCCTATCATCCTATCATCTTATCATCTTCCTTCTACTCGCCATCGCCATGTCTCAGAAAAGAAAGACTCCCGTAAGTCTCATCTTTATTGATGATCATGTCGTGTGGTCATCCCATGTCCTCACTCAATATGTGAATGAACACTGACAGCCGTGCCAGGCCACTGCTCCCAGTGCTCCCAGCGTCTCCAATGCCCCCAATGCCCCCACCACTGTAAGCACTCAATCTTTGAGATGATTTAATGATGAGGAGATACATTGATGCGTACAGTTCAAAAAAGGGGGAAAGCGTCAGCGCCCCCGAGGAGGGAAAAAGATCAGAGGTTAGTCTCACATTATCATGGCTGAGACCACTCGAGTTGGACAGAAAGCTAACCCATAAATACAGCAATACTTTCGAGGGAGAAAGGTAATAGCTCTGTCTACCATGGCCAATATCAAGAGAATGAGAGGTACTAATAGTACATCTAGCCGCCAAAGAGCTTAAGGACGCCCTCGCTTCTGCTGCTATCACCTGTTCTGCTGCCGGCGCTGGTGAGTATCCCACGACATATTAATGTTGTCTATTCCTATAACTATACCAGAAGCAATACTAATACATTCTAAGGAGAATCCTCCACTGCTCCTCCTGTCGCCTCCCCTTCGACCGACTCCCCTACTGTTGCCTCGCAGGCACCTCCCCCGGCCATCACTACTCCAGTAGTAGATCCTCCTGCCGTGTCCCCCTCCATGCCCAGTAAGCTGTATACCCTCGCACTCTAAATTATGGCCCCTTCCTCCGCTGTTCGCTTAGGAGGAAGCATCTCATCTCCAGTAGAAGATCGACTGCAGGTCTTGCTGAGGAGCAATGCTAATATTCGAATAAAATAGGCACCACTAGTGCAGTAGTCCCCACGGTGGGAGCTGCCTACCGTATCACTCTTGCTTCATTGGTCCCCGGGATGGAATTAACGGACGAGGAAGTAGAAGACCTGTCTGGGTATTTACCCAGTGTTATTACTACCTTCATCCAGGATCGTAGGGTTACCTTGGAGGTACCCTGGGATTTGTGGGCCTAGGCAAAGAAATCAATATTCATTCGTGTGTCCACAATTCACTATTAATACTTATTATAATACGAAGGAACGTCTCCTTCCAGCGAGTGGTAGCATCCGCAGTGGTCCTCAAGCCAGGGAGCATCCTTGATAAACTGCCTAAACCCTAGTAAGTGACCTTGGATCACACTGTGGAATTGTGTGATAGGGAAGGCTCCAGAACTCCAGAACTCCTAAGAGCTAAGAGAATCTCCTCGCACTTTTTCCCATACAAGGTATATGATATACCCGCCGGGGACAAGGTCGTTTTTGTCTTGCTTACCGATTTGATACCCAAAGAGTTTAGGGGTAGCAGTTCAGCCATAATGACAAGGCGATTGACTTTAGTGCTATAGCCAAAGTCCCTTGTTTTTCTCTGCTCCTCTGTCTCTCTATACTTCGTATTTTAGTTGAAATGCACTTATTGGGGACTGTGAGCTTCTCATAGGGATAGACAACATTAATATGTCGTGGGATACTCACCAGTGCCGGCAGCAGAACCAGCGCTCGCAGCAGAGGCGAGGGCGTCCTTGAACTCCTAGGTCCTTGCATCCTCCTCTTCGCTTGCACGGAGAGCGACGGCCAGAGCTAGCCTGGCAAAGTACAAGACGTATGTCTTTTCAGTGATAAGATATGGACCATATAGGCGAAACGAGACTCTCAAGGAGCGCTTTCCCGGATCACCCTGCATGTATTGTCTATACCCGTCCTTGTAAGAGGCGTTGAGCAGGTTCAGCTCAGATCCAGTCTGAGAAAAGAGCGTCACTCTAATTGTTATATCAGTATAGAAACTCAAATACAGCGATATTACTGCATAGGCCTACCTGTCCTTGGGAAGGGATGCGCATTTAACAGGGCTGTAACCATTTCCATGGTATCTTGCCAATAGACATTCGGTTCATGGCTTAACCGCCTTAGAGCTTTCGCTTCGAGGATTGATTGTGCTCGAAAGGTTGACTTCGACTCCAGGAAGCCGTCTACCTGGCATGACAAGCTGAAGGCGTCTGATCTCAGCTCTCCGTTTTCCTTGTCATTCTTGACCTTCTTGAAATCGAATTTTGGAGTGGTAACTTGAGGCCTTACTAAGGCAAGCAAATTCACACTGCTTCATTGGAAGCGCGCGGGAAATAATGTCAGGCCTTCACCTCTCAACGTAAGGGTTTGGCGGGCTTGGGTGATGTAGGAGTGGGGGAACATTCTCCAATGTCGACTGCCCATTTTTCAATAGTGACAGTCTTCCTCCCCCTCCGAGCGACTCTTATGGTCAATGCGACTTTGACCTCCTGGTCTGACTAGTTCAGCCAGAATAAAACATCTTGCTTCAACTTAGTCAATGATCCAGATCACGCTGATTCCAGTCACTATCTACATCAGAGTGCTTCGCGCAGACTGCTTGTAAGAAAATGACAAGTGAAGCATTCACAAGCTCCTCATTCTTGTCATAGGCCCTCTCCTCACTCGTAGGTACCAAGTACGGTAATTGGTTCACCCGTTGCTGTTGGTTGTAATCTCAGAAGCAGAAATTACTCTTCGAATATCTTAGAGCCTGATTTGAACGGGTCTCTGGTGTGGATGCTCGTCCTCAATGTGGCCTCTGCTCTCTTGGCTGCTTTTTTCCATTGCGTGATATCAGAGGGGATCGGGGTCGACTGATTTGGGGGCATTCCCGAAAAATTGGATGCAATGTTGATGCTGTGGGATTGACAGTTGCCACTTGCGAGAACGAGGAGAGAGGATGTTCAGGGGAGAAGCGACGGGGGAATGAGTGGGTTAATATAGAGAGACATAAATGTTTGCTAGGCGGTTCCAGGATTGTTCCCATTCACTGCCATTATTAAAGTACTTATCTCAAAGCAAACACTACCCCAGAGCTGGTACCTAGTAGATCTGAGGTATCACTCACTTATTCCTCACTTGTTCTTCACTTGTTCTTCGCTCTTCCAGCCCACCTTTATAAGGGCAGGTTAGAAGTTAACCTCGATATATCAACTTGCAATAAAGGAATCAAGTTTGTTTTAACTTGAATAGTATTCCAATTAAGAACACAGTCTATGGGATATCAATATTAGAAACAAAGACATTGGTAGCATTAATCAGGAAGATACCATAAAACGCCATGACCTGTACACCCCGGAACACCAGATGTAAACATTAAAATCATATCCTCTCAGCCAAAGAGATACTTCCGCCAGCTCTGTTTCCAAGGCTTCCAAGTCCCCCCAAACCGATGGTTAATACAAGCTTGTTGACTACTGAAGCCCTCGGATCCAGAATGCCGCTGTCCATTACCCCAAGCGTTAACAGGTAGAACACACAGCCCTCCCATTAGCTTGCCAGGCTTAGTCTCCGAACTCTCAACACAGAGCGGCTCTTGAATCCCGTGGAAAGGCGCCCACGTCACACGCTGCACAGACGAAGCCGAGGACGAGAACCCAGCGTCCGCATCCACAGACTGTTGTACTAACCGATGTGTAGATGGCAATGTATCCGACAGCACATCGAGAATAGCATCTGTAAACACGCCGGGGCCGGTGATCTCCATCGTATCCATTTCGTTGAATCTCCTATTCCAGAAATGACCCTCGTCGACTCGCTGCTTCGTATGGGACAACACACGGACGATGATCTCTCTTAGTAGCGGACTAAACCGTTGTGGCGCATAAATTGAGTATTGGATGAAGCCGTAGCGTCGGGCCCAGTGCCAGTCGCGCATCTTCTGCGGCGAAGCGAATGGCTCGTCGATTTCAATTCCGACAACTAGCGACACATTCGCGTTAACCGTGTTGGCTTTGAAGATGGAGTCGCGCAGTGACGGGCATGATTTGATGCTTCGTGCGGGATATATGTCGAGGTCTGCGTAGTAGCCGCCGTAGTACCATAGAATCAAATAGCGGAGGAGATCGCCGCGGTGGACGGAGTGTGGGTATGATTTGTAGAGTCGAGCGATGTCTGGGATGGATTCCAGAGTGTCGAAAATGAATTTGTCAGCCCAGTCGGCTTCTATCAGCTGTAAATTGTAAAGTTAGTCGGTTGACCTGGTATAATCAAGATATGAATTGTCCGTTGTCGGTCTTACTTTGTATTTCCATTCTGAATTCTTTTCCTCGAATTGAATTGAATCGTCGCTTCGCTGGCTGACTCCTGGCAGCATAATCTGCCACAGTGTATGTGTTGCATCCTCATCGTGTCGCATTTCCCTTTCTATCTCTATGGCGCGGAGCGCATTAGAGAGCTTGAGCTCGTATTCATGGTCTGGGTTCGTGCGAAATGTAGACTGGTGAAGATACCGCGGTCGGTCTTCCCCGTACAGCTTCTTGGTGTGGGGATCGAGCTTGGATGTGGGCACAGACTTGAAAAGAATAAATAGAGTTAGAATCGCAGCCACCAGGACATATTTATGCCGGTTTGGAAACCCCAGAAACACGCGATTTCTCATGGTGAGTGGTGAGAGGACTAGCCATGACAAATAAGAGACCGTTGAGGGGTGAATTTTCTTTGGGCTATCAGTCTAAGCCCCCAAATAGACCCCGGGAAGGTCTCATTTCATTGGTTTCGCCTGATTGGTGTAACTGTGATGGACCCGGGAAACTGAGTTTGGAGGGGTTCACTGGTGTTAATTGCGATATTTGGAGAGATTGAGGTAGAGAGGACTTTGTGAAGATATTTGAATGCTTGTCTGTTGTCTGTGATTCCAGATCCATGTCCAATTCTAAGAAAGAGAGAACATTTGCACCGTCGACCTTGTTCCCTGATTGTTTGCATGTGGGGCTGACCGCCCGTGTATGTCTTGGCACTCCCAATCAGGAACTATAAACCGATAAGGCACGAGAGTCCAGAAAAGCTTGGCTACAACATAGTCGTGCTTCTATACATCTAAGCGTCAACGAATTTAATTATTTGGATCATACATTTAGAAAACGCGTGAAGCCAATAACTATTACTATTCTGTTTATTCTTTCATTCTTTCAATTCTTTTAATAGCAAACGGTACTGGTTGAATTGAGAATCCTCGATTCTCCCATCTTCAACTCCCAAAACATGTAAACTCTTCGAGCTTCGAAATCACGTGCCACAAGAGCTTAGAAACAGTACTGTTGAGCTCGCTTAGATGGTCTCTGATCTCTTTGTGACTGTGGTTCGCCTTTATCATCATTTGTACCAACCCATATGCCTTCTCTTCCACAGAGATACCAAGACCTACAATCGTATGTCTGACCTCCAATCAGCAAAATATGAGACAAGCATAAGCTGACAGTATCATTTAGCACTATGGCAAACAACAACGACCAAAGCAGCGCCACGGGTGCGCCCTCAAGACAAGTCGCCAGACAAATCAGGCAAGCCCGAGGGCATTCCACAGGACGACCGGACGCAACAAACGCGAACCACCAAGGTGCCTTATTTCGCAGCCCTATCCGACCTGGCATGGCCAGCAGCCGCTTTGCCACTTTTACAAGTGAAGACCCCTCTGAGCCCGCGCCCGATCCAATGGACATTGATCCAATGGAGATCGACAGCCCTCCTCCCCAACAGGCTCAGCCTGCACCAACCACCACCCTGACTCGCATGAACGAGCAGGCTCAGAACAGTGGCATGCACCGCCACAAGTTCTACCTCTCCATTGGGCCTCGTCCCATGCCAACTCTGGACCTCGACGTGCTGACCGTCGCTCGCGCTGAAGTGACTCGTCTTCGGAGAGCAGGACTGCCAGTTCTGGAGTCCCTGCCTGAGCGATCTGGTCCGCATCTCTACATCCGTATTGATACGGACCAGGCGAGCCGTGATCAGGCACTCGCTCGTGCCGATCTTCGAATGGGTATCATGCAGGACATGATACGGGACGGCTTCGGCTGGTTCTCGGGTCTGCCTTACCGCCACCCGCATTTCGATGTGAAGTTCCTCCGTAGTCCACGCCTCTAGATTGAGGCTGTGTTACTGGGTCTCTGAGACCCATGAGCTGTTCGGGGTGAGAAGTGGGATGGGGGATAGCCAGTTGTGTTGTTCCTTTTTCTTTGTCCCTTCTCCTCTGCGTTCTTACATACAGATAGCCGCAAATAGTATTCTTAGTGATTTTGCTTTCATCCGTAGATCATATAGGCCTCAGATATCTATCTACCGTACCTAGGCCACCGGTCAGGATAGAGTAATCAGTGAATTTCGAGTGATCCCAAACACCATAGTCTCATAGTTTCATAGCCTCTAGAACTCCGCAACAAACTCCAGCAATGCAATTCCCATCCAATCCCACCAAAACAAAATGCAACCCTTATTTATCAACCGGACGCAAAGCCAATGTAGTCTTACTCTGCTCACACCCCTGCCAAGTCCGTTCAACAGCCTGGATAGTAGGCCAGACCTGCTCACGAGCATCCTTCCGACTAACGCCCTCCTCGAGCAACTTCTCATACGGCGTATGGACATGTCGAATATGCGCCTCAACAGCCAATAGCGTCTTTCGATTGTCACTGATCATCCCTGTCCGCCCTACACGCCCCGACCCCTTGAGGAAGGCATGCTCCAGGACGATTTTGAGGGTTTCCTTCGGCATAAGCGGGAATTCGCTCTTCAAGAGTTCCCGTGATTTGGAGAGATCCTTAGCATCACGCACTTGCACGGCGTTGGCGCGTGATTCTTTTGTCGCGGCGGCTGATTCGAGAACTTCTGTGTAGATTTCTTCGGGCACTCGGATTCCCAGAGTTCTTTTGCCCGTGCGGTTCTGGGGCTGTTAGAGGTCCTTTTCTGGGCTTGAAGCTGATCGTTCGAATGAGCACAGCACTTACGTAGACGACGTATACTATTCGCTCGGACTCTTTGGTCTTACTGCGGCAGTGTCGAGTGACGTATACATCACCTTTGGGGACTAGAACGTAGCCATCTGGCAAGGGTACTTGCTCAACAATATTCTGATTCAATGTTTAGCGTGATATCTTTCTATATCAATACGGCTCAAAATTACCTTTTCGAGTGGATCATCGGAGACGGGAATGAGTGCGGCCCATATTTTCTTGGGTTTGCGACGCTTCTTCGTCTCGTTGAGTACTTCGGCAAGCGGTTGGGCCGGCGAGCCTGCGTCTATCGGACGTGCGTGGCCTTCGCGAGTGCGGATACCACGATTCCTCTTTCTCGCCCGTGGTTTGCGTTTGCGAACTTTGGGTTTAGTGGTTGGTGCCATATTGAGTGTTCATGGAGCCAAGGAGGTGGATGAGTTAATGGTTGACACGGTGTTAAGATGCGACCACATCGACTCCATTGAGCGATAGGTTCTGGCAGTACTCAGATCTGATTGTCATTCAATGTTATTTTTGGACCTGAAACACTTGCGGGTCTTTGATACTTCCACGGTTTACGGTCAAAGCAGATCAGAAACGGTGGCTGTGGCACTCTGGGCCGTGGCACTGTGGCTGTGCGAAGCTGAGGTCACTTTGATGCCTGTATAATCAGGCCCTGAATCCCTGACTTCCACCTCAGATTCCGACTGCTTTAGACTCGACACATCTATCGGCCATTATGTGTACAGACAAATGTCACCGTATGTTCACATCACATGATATGCTTTCCAGGGCTGCCTACGGCGATATGGACTCTGCAACTCAGGATCATAGCTTTCTCAAACGCCTATGCCAACAAGTCAAACCCTTTGAACCCAGCTACTCTTCCTATGATGACCTTCAAATGCTTGGAATTCAAGTGTCCCAAGTCGCAATAGTGAATGACTAAATCATCCTATTTGGCCCATGCTTCTTTAGCCCTAAGAAAACGAGAAACCGCCCAGGCTAAGACTAGTTCCAACAGTTCGATGAGATTGTAGAAGATTGCAGACCTCCATTCAAACTACTTTAGGTTTAGCGCTTCTTGGCCAGCCTTTTTTACCGATTATGCTAATCTCATATGTGATATATCATATCATACGCTTGACCAGTCCATTTGCATCTGGTATAGGGCCAATAAATCGGGAACCTACGTGTACTACTTCGTATTAGAAAGCAGTAGGGGTAGGTGCGGCTGTACGGTTCCAGTTGACCGGATCTTATGTGATACCAAGGGTATCTGCCCGTGGACATGGATATGGATAAGCTTAGAAGGGACCTAGAGTAACAAGAAGGAGGCTAAGTACAGTTCTAACATCGCTATCAATCTTCACCAGCGTGATGATCACCATTGAACCATCTGCTGTTAACCGCCTAATTCGGCTTCTAGCATTGTCCTTGCATATTCCAGCCATATCTCAATTATTTTTAGCTTTCAGTCAGAACTAGAAGATTCAAGTGACGACGCATACTTCGTCACTATCCTCACAATCTATCAATATACCAGGCCGAATGTCTTCAGCCCTGCCCCATTGAGTGCAAGTAAACTTATTTCGAAAATTGCATTTGGCATTTGTATTAATATGATCTTCATTGCTGTAGTGGTCATTTATCACATCAGTATAAAGTACATATACGTGCAGCTATTCTGTGGTACCTATAATCGCGACGGAATTCTGCAGCTAGTTCTCGTTTGGGCTCTCTTTAGTTTAAGATAGACTGCGGATAGTATAAGCAAATGAAAAGTGTCCTTAAGTAGTTGGTTCAGTTTTCAACTGCCTATAAAGATGAAACAGTTCTCCGGGTCGTACAATAGTTATAGTATCTCGTTTAGGTGACACAGCCGAGATACTAATGTTCGTTTGTAAACTTCTAGAGACGCAAGTAACCATACCTAATGGCCAATGATATGAAAAGCACCTCATTTAGGATACATCAGGTAACGTTCAGAAGGAATTGACCAGGTTTAGAAGGTCTATAAGTATCAGCTTTTGAACCTCCTTTTCCTTCCATTGCTTCCATATCCCAACAAAGTATTTTGATAGCTCTTTTACACTCTCGACTACCATCCTCTCCTATTTCTACTTGCATTTTTCTTCAACTATCCAATCTATATGTGAGTCTCCCAAGAGTGCTCCACGGAGAGCTTAATTGGTATACTAACAAAAAGCCATTTTTAGTATCAACTCACCATGATGGCTCTGAACCCAACACCGATTACATCACGCCAGGCAGTCCGTGGGAACTTTAAGCTCGCCCACAGCTTTGAGTGTAAAAGGGCGATTGTATCGTACCATCGCCATGTCTGGTGTCTTCCTGTAGGGAATACCAACCGACTTGAAGTCAGTAAAGCGAAGGTTCCCGTCCTCGGCTCTGAATATGCGCCCAGAACCTGGCCCACAGACTATCCCTATTTCAACAGTTTGTGGGTCAAGTTCTTAGGAGCATATGCGGAGCGGAGAACGTGAACCTTCAATTTACGGTATTCCCTACATAAAGACACTGGATATTGCTAAGGTACGCTAAAATTCCCCTTTTACACTCAAGCTGTGGGCGAGCTTAAATTTCCCACAGACTGACAGCGCGCTTTCAGATAATGACCTGTGGCGTAATGTTTTTGTTACTTCGCATCGCCGGCACTTGACGGGTGGCTTATTAGAGACCGGACTGACAAGAACGATTTGATCTCTCGCGATTGACGTTAGTGCTATTAGCCAAAATCTGTTTTTTTTTCTTTGCTTCTCTGTCTCTCTATACTTCGTATTTTAGTTGAAATGCATTCTTTGGGGACTGTGAGCTTCTACGCCAGGTCTCAGGATATTGTTAAAGTAATTCAATTTGATTTCAATTTGGTGCCTGACAAGATCATCACCAAGTATTCTCGCCAAGCCTGCATATGGGACCTATTCCGAATCTTCCACGGACCATATTCTTGCATCCTTATGAAGGAGAAATATTCCTGGGAACCAGGGTTTTGCGCAGGACGGGGACTTGTGGCATAGGGGCTGGGAGTTCGTCTTTCAGGTATCACATATTCATTGTTGTATTTCGCAATCGTCAACCAGATTTCATGGTTGTCTTGCGAGACAAGGAGACATCTATAGAGGTCAGGAAGGACATAAACATTCGAGAGAGTGATTCGGGGTCTCTTACTGGTTAATGGCAGTTTTTCGGACTTGCTCCTCATCGTGCAGTATCCAGGAAACCATCTCAGTGCTCTCCTGCCATAGAAGTTCAGGTCATTCCACGGCAGCTTCTAATGCTGGCTTGACCTCGGTAATGGCAAAAATATCAGGGGTCTCAGTTCCCACTAGACATCCGTCGATGCGCGCAGTCATTTTGTTATCCTTAAACGATGTATGAACTGAGAGTGAATGGAGGACCATTCACACTTCATGTCAGGCAAATGCACCGTCAGAGCCCGCAGGAATAGCAAAAGAGCGTCGTTAACAATTTGCTCGTCTTTTGTATGTCTGATTGGAAGATCAGAATCCCCTGCCGCGGTAATAACGCTCATTGGCACGGCGGTCGATGGGGCGTCGCTTGTTACGCTCGCCCTTGAGGGAGTGACAGTTCTTGCTGCGGAGGGAGTGAGGCTGATCCTGTACGCGAGCAGATCTCCGAACGATAACAGAATCAGACTCGAGGCCTGAGATATTGAGTGCTGATGAAATATGAAATTTTGCACTGCGACTGCAATACCAACTGAAAGACACCTATTCTCGGTCACTGAACACCCCCGAGCCTTGGTTAATACGTTGAGCTCGGGGAGGGTATTCATCATCTCGGAGACCCGGGCCTCTATCCCTGCATCAGCTTTCGGGAAGTGACTGACGTCCTTTAGCAAAACCGAAGAATGGTTATGTGAGCAGGGGAAAAAAGAGAGTTGAAAGATCGAAAAACGTACCTTTTCAGTGACACTGGAGGTGCCAGGGTTATTGATGGATGAAGAAGCAAACCATGGGTTTATATGGTTGTTGGCCCGGGGAGAGGGGAGAGTTGTATTGTTTAAGATCTTTAAGAGGTTAGTTATCCTGGGTTGTGGCTTGATTTGTCAGGCAACTCTTTTTTCAATGGCCCGCTAATTCTGCCAGAGAATTAATAACTCAGAACTCCTCTCCAAGGCTCTTAAGTTTGACTACCTAGCTATATAGTGAAATCTCATAAAATATTTGGAATGCTGTAGTATTAGCATCCTCTTTGGGACTAGCGGACCCAGATGAGAGCCTCACAGATGATGTAATCATCTCCACCAATCATAACCCACAGGTCCCGGATGCATCTGGCCAATCAAATACGGAGTATTGACTTCCCTTTTGAGAACTATCATTCAGTCGCGATGGCAATGGCTTAGGCGGGGTCTGACTCAGTCGACTGGTGAGTAATTGCAGGGCCATGAGCTTGGAACTAGAAGCATGGAAGTGAGTGTTTTGCTAACTGTGCTATTCTGCAAATTAAATATCGGCTCTCCGTATGTGGGAATATATAACTAGCTCCAATTCTGTATCTTAGTTGTAAATACTTGAATGAAGCAAAATACATACAATTACCTTGGAATGGAAGTGAAACCCTATGCATAACCCATGGACCACGAGATAATATACTTTATGTACTCCGTGAGCAAAATCGGCAAACAAAAGTCTAGTACATATACGGATGTACATTCATAGTATTGGTACTTCTCTTCTCTCTTCTCACACTTACACAAATCTAAAACACCCATACATTCAAACCATGGCCTCCAGTGATACTTGGATAAATCCTCTCGTTCGATATCAAATAAATCAGCACTCGGCCAAGCAAGAGATGGAAGAATATCCCGATATTGAGTCAGGGCAGTTTGACGACATTGATGCTAATTTTGGCGCTACCTTGAAGGATACCATCACCGTTCTCGAAACTGACAACTATCGTACTCGCAGAAAGAAAACCGTTTCGATGCTATCAGATATTCATCCTCCACCTCGAATTCCGAGATTTTTGAAGATGCGAGTATACTGGGCAAGATTGCGACATTGGTGACTTGGAATAATGGGATTACAACTCGGGATGTATGGATATTTGGTGGCCGTTACTTTTATACAAAATGCTCATTGTCTGTTTCTTTATTTTTGTGTATTATTAAATTTAGTCTTAATCTGAGTGCGAGTCCATACCGTCGGTGATGTCTGATATCAATTACACTGATTAGTTCTCAGGTGCTCCCTAGACCATAGAGTTGATTACAAGCGTAACAGTATAAACTAATATTCGTAATAAGTCACATTCACTGCTCTGCAGATGGAAAAAGATAAAGGTACAAGACAATATGGTACAACATAGAACAACAGTGGGTATAATACAAGTCTGGTAAAAGAAACCAAGCCGATTCCAGACCCAACAAGGACAAACAAGAAGATAGTAGGCCATGCCATGGAATGGCTCGTAGGGGAAGTGAAATGAGAAGCAAAAACTAACAGTTCAAGCGCCGTACATCCGCACATCCTCCGCGTCAACTTCCTCGCGGCGGCGGAGGAAGGTAGCCTCCTCGAAATCATCCATGTCCATAGTGGGCTGTTCAATCTTGCTGTGTCGCACAGCAAGGATACGGCGACTTTGGCCCAGATTCGGGGACAGGATGGTTCGTCCGCATGAGTTCTCGTTCCAGGATCCGAAGTTGTTGAATGATTCATCAACATCCTTATCGACCAGAATGTCACCATCTAATTCCAAAGCCCGCTTTTGTCCGCCCAAGGCAAATGACACAGCCGAGTCTTGGCTGCTTGATGGGATCGAGTATGCGTCGCCATCGTCGGTAACGAGGAAGTCATCGTGGCTGGACGATTTACCAGTGCCGGAAAAAGGTGACAGCTCAGAGTATCTGCTGCCACGGTAGGGTTGAGCGCGCGGGGTTTGACCGACAGCTGTCGAGAGTGGGGCCTTTCCTTCTGTCTTGGACATATTGGTTCTATAACCGTCTGCGACGGATTTCCGAACCCGCATTCCGACAGACAGAAGAGATGACTGAACTTTGGCAGGCACAACCGGATGGGCAGAGAAGGTTGCTGCGGCGTAATGGTGGTGGTGTGACACCGCAGGTGTATCTGAAGACACTGGTTCCGAGGCGGATGTGAAGAACGTTGTGATAGGAGGTTGGAAGCGTCGGCGCTTTGACAAGTCGCTATTGCTGGGTGGCATTTTGGAAAAGGAATATGAGGTTTTCGATTTCAATATGGGAGTATTCTCAAAATGCCCACGAGTGAGTGACGTAGTGTAGTGGGAAAAGGGAAGAAAAAGAAGAAAGGACGAGGCTGCTCAGGCAACGGGGACGCCACTTAACGCGGTACGCGTTGATCAACGCATAGTACCCCCACTAATATCGCGTCGTGGAACCAATCGAGCACCTTTAATTAATCTTTACTTTATACGATGTACAGTTATGGCTGTCATAAGATAGTATATGCTCTTTATAGTCTATCCTGTGAGCCTCGTGCAATGACAAAAGTAATGTACTGTATATAACAAATCATTATTTTTAAGAAAAACGGACATAAAAGGCCTATCACTGGCCAACGTTTCCTCTCCGTCCGCCTCTCTTGCCACGATCGACATGAGCCCGAAGCACAGCACGGGTCTCCACCAAACTTCTCTTGTTCTTGCTGCGCGCCTTGCCCAGCGTCATGAGGAAGTTCTTCTTGCGAGCCTTTTCCTTGTTGGTAGAACTCTTTCCTTGCTCCACCTTGCGTTCCTTGCGACGAGCCTCCTTACTCATATGCTCAGTCTTGCCCTCCTTGGCGTGGGCAATACGTTCCTCACGAGTGGCCCTGGCGGCAGATAGAGCAGCAAGACCCTCAATCTCACCAGCGGTCAATGGGTCATCGGTATGGCGGGAGGTCCATGGGGCAGCGACGCGGCCCTTGTTGCCCGGAAGAGTGGCTTCGGCTGCGGCCTGAGCACGAAGCTCCGTAAGTTTGGCGAGATCAGCCGGGGTGAGGATGCGGGTGGTGGCCAGTTTCATGAAATCAATGGGGTTTTCGGCTTCTTTTTCGGTGTCCTTCTTGGTCTCTTCGTCCTGTTTGGCCTTCTTTGATGCCGGCTTGCCTTCATCCTCGGAATCACTCAGTACAATGTCAACATCTTCCTCCACATTGATCCATTCTCCGTCGACATCGCTGTCCTCGTCCTCTTCGACGTTCCAGGCTGCCCAGTCGGCCTCGTCGTTCTCCTCTTCGTTATCTTCGGCATCAGATGGAAGACCATTCTCGATGTTCTTCTTGCGACGCTCCTCATCTTTCCACTTAGCCAAGAGTTCCAGACCCTCAATTTCGCCGGCCTCCTGCTGACCGTAACGTCTCTCTGGTCTCTCGCCAGCGCGCAAACTCATCGAGGCCTCCTTGCCACGGTCACGCTTCTTCAGCATCTGCGCACCAACATCACGGTACAGACTGAGGAGACCCTTGGAGGCCATCATGACACCCTTATCCTTACTCTTCTTGTACATGACGAGATCCTGCAACAGGGTCTCATCAATAGCCAAAGGCTGTCTAGCACAAATTTCACGGATGGCATTCAGACCAGCCGTGGCGACTTCACCGGCAGATGCTTCGGACACGAACTCATTTGCAATCTTCTGAATCAGAGGCTCGAGAACATCAGGAGGCACCAGGTCGTGCGAGGCTTGGGCTAGAGATGCCAGGAACGAAGTCACAGAAGGTTGGCGGGGCGTAAGGTACTTTTGGAAGTAAGAGTAGAGCGGCATGATGTGCAACTTGTGCAAGCCGACCAGGCGAGAGACCAGCTGTAGCACCTGAAGCTTTTGCTCCAGATTCAACTTAGACTTGCTGTTCTGGAGATGCTTGAAGAACATGTTATCCGCGAATCCCTGGGGATCGTGAAGCAAATGAAGCGCGGAGAAGTTGAGAGGATTGGGATTTCCCTTCTTGCGCTCCTTGTTCCTGACCGCTTTGATGGCCTTTTCGGCGACACGGGCCTTCTTTCGGGTCTTCTTATTGATGGTAAGTTGATGCTTAACCTGGCCAACACTGACTTCTTCTTCACTGTCTTCGTCCTCTAATTCCTCGCGCTCCTTATCGCCACCGAGGAAGAAACGGACTCCACCGATGATGACCTTCTCATTTTGTGACAAAGCTGCCTCCTTCATGATCTCAACGGCCTTAGCCTCCGTCCAGATTTGACGCTTCCATAGCTCTCTGGTGATCTTGATCGCCCACAGGCCTTTAGCCGATGTGCGGTCTGATGTGACCAAGTTGAATAGAACTGTTTGCATAGTCCGGTTCAACTTGTGGTTAGTGGTCTTTGCATTTGCGGTTCGTAGCTCAGAGAGGATCTTTTGGAAGAGCAGAGCCCGCAGGGTCTTGCTAGGTGTAGAGATGAGGATGGGGAAGAGAGTGTGAAGTAGCCTAGAGTAGTGGTTAGGATCGAAAGTAGGGAAGTAATGAAAGGGTCTTCGCACTTTGCTGAATCTATAAGATCCTTCTTCTTCAAAAGCGCTAAACTTCCAACCAGCTTCTCCCGCAACTCTGTCTCCAACACCAGGTGGTGCTGCATGAGCATATCAATGAGCTGTTGCGGGAAATCCTTACAGATGCCCGGGTAACAGTCGGCCACATGAGAGATGAAGTCAATGAGATCCCGAAGAGAAATCAGACCGGTGTCCGTAGCAGATGTAGGCGCCGCCATGAAAATCTCACGATGGGATTCATATTGGTAATGTTGGGCGCGGAAATCCTCGATATAAGACCTGAAAAGCAAAGCGATAATTAATCCCCGACCGTGTACAAAATAGCATAGGGAACTCTGCATATAACTTACTTAGGATCTCTGCGAATCTTGTGCTGCAAATTGGGCCTGCGAACCGCAAAAAAAAGATGTTAGCATCACGGACTGAAGCCTCTGATCAATTGATCAGGGCGCATCGGGTCAGACATTTACGTACAGGTCAGCCTCGACCTTTTCCAAGGCTCCCAGCTTTCTTTTCACCATTTTGAAGTTGAAAATAAGAATGTGGTGGTTGGGAAGGGTATGTTGGAGGTCCGAAACTTTTTTTCTCCGTATCGATAAGCGATGAAAAATCTCAACCTTGGCAATATCTGATTTGGCTAGAACTATCAAATCATAAACACTAAGACATTGGATCATGTTGATCGTATATTCTTCTACAATCTCTATGCTAGACTTGCTAGATCCATTCAAAAACGAGAATAAAAGAAATTTTTTCTTTTTAGGAAATAGGTCTTTACGACCCAAGGTCTTCATGATCGCATCACAACTACAAAGAAAGCCGTCCGAATGCGTTCCCTTTTAAGATCGTGCTTCCTCCTTGACTGTATCACATTATGTACAGCCTTGCAGATGCATGCGAATCCACTGAATCCCGGTTAAAACCCCGTCCACTCCAGTATACGCAGACAGAGGACCAAACGGAGAACAAATCCAACACAACCCCTTTACCGGTTGCTCTTGGCAACACGCTCGAGCTCATCCTTCTTCTTGATAGCGTAGGAGTTGGAAGAACCCTTGGCGGCGTTGATCAGCTCCTCAGCAAGGCACTCAGCAATGCTCTTGATGTTGCGGAAAGAGGCCTCGCGAGCACCGATGGTGAGCAGAGAGATAGACTGGTTCACGCGACGGAGGGGAGACACATCGACGGCTGGAAGGGAGTTAGTATTTGATACCAGACATGACGAGACAAGACTTTTTCACATACCCTGGCGACGGACGGTACCCTGGCTACCGATACGGGTGGAGTCCTCACGGGGACCGCAGTTGACAATGGCGTCAACGGCAACCTGGAGAGGGTTCTGGTCGGTCATGATGTGAACCTGTAGAATTGAAAATTAGTGTCTGAATTGGATAGTTGAATGGTTGAATTGGTCGGAGTGGCACATACAATCTCGAAAGCGTGGGCGACGATGCGAACGGCCAGAAGCTTCTTTCCGTTGTTGCGGCCGTTCATCATGAGAGAGTTGGTGAGACGCTCGATGATAGGGCACTGAGCCTTGCGGAAACGCTTGGCGGCATAGCGACCGGCAGAGTGGGAGAGGTAGACGGGGGAGCGGATCTGGATGTAGTCGCTGTCATGGCGGGTCAGCACCTCTGTAAACCTGATAGTCGCGCGATTGCCGGTCCTTGTGCGCGCTGTTGATTTCCTGCTGTGTGCGAAAAGAAAACTAGTTCCAAGCCGTGTTGTGTCCCCTCCGATAAAGATTTTCGATATCCCCCTTCCAGTTGCCGAAGTCTTGCCATTCCACCAATTCGACTCGTTCTTTTCTCGCACACAACAGGAATTCACTCGGCGCATAGAGGACCTGATAGAAAGACTCACGTCAGGGAAATATCCCGGATCTCGACATCATCGTAGCTCCACTTGTTGAACAGCTTGATGCTGCCCTGCTCGGCCAGAACCTCCTTGGGCAGGACAGGGAAGGCGGCGACCTCGACGTCCCCGTTGTCGGACATGTTGACTGTGCGGGAGGGGTTCGTGGGAAATTGACCGGGTTGTCGTTTGGTGGTTGAACGTCGATGAGGTTCCGGGTATCCAAGAAAGAAATTGGTGTGCCTCGCTTAGGTTGTGCGGGGGTCATGTGATTAGGGTAGGCTGATAGTGGATATCACCTGATTCATGCCTTGGTGCCTCAGTGCCTGAGGAAGGAAACTTTATGACGGATCCACACCCAAATAATCCCAGCCTTATATTGATCGCACTGACTGTCTACTGATTCTACTGAATACTTTTGGGCTTTGACTCCATATCAAATTTACATCTATTCAATTTAAGCCAAAATCCTCCACTGAATACACAAACCTAGCCCCAAATTGGTGTAACTTGGTGTCTCATTCCCAGTAGTTCCGAGCCTAGACTGGGACACGCGATACACTAAGTCAGAGAGTACCTGAACAGCCACAACTTTCATTGGACCTCTATGCAGTAGGCTTGATGGTATAGATGTAGAATTTTCTCGTCACCTTCTATATATATCTGAGACAACCATGTCTGGGGGTATATATAGTCTCTCCGTCGCATGTCTCAGGCTCTCAGCTCGTCTGACCGCCTTGGCGGGTGACGTTGCGCGGGTGTCTTGCGCGAAGATCAGAGACAGGACGGATTGACTCGCTGATCGACTCACACCCCGGTAAATACAACCTGCGGCTATCAGGGCTGCACTTGGCAAATCCGCCACCCCTCACCTGCGCCCTCGAGACGCTCATTGCGATGAGGTGTTCTTGACTCCGTGCCCCCCATCCCTCCCCCGCGCTTTTGATACGTTTCCCCGAATTGAGGCTTTCCGACCCTCCATCTAAATGGCGGAAGAGTCTCCCGAGATACAGGCCGCTTTGCGGGACCTAGATCGGGAATTGGAGGTATGTACATTTCGTGCACTTGTTGTATGCTTTTTCTTATGTATGATCCATGACAGGAGGGCGATATCACTCAGAAAGGGTAAGCTATCCCTGGCTACAACCAGTATTACAAGCCAATTCTGCCTTGTCATAGATTCGGTTCTTGCGACAGGAGATTTCTGGACCGGCAGATGCATAGGACTGACAACGACAAGATACCAGAAGCGACGTACGATCCTGCTTTCGCAATATTTCGGTCCCAACAAGCCCCTTGATATCAATTCACAGGCCGGTCTTGGCTACGATGCATCCCCAGCCAGCCCTGGAAGGGTCCCGCCGGCCATTCTGAGCGTTCGCCCACCAACTGCCGATTCTTCCCTGCCACACGTCACTTCCCCCATTTACGCAGGCAGTCATGGCTCACAGGGCAGCGGAGCCGTCGGATATGATCAAGGTGCCGGTATACATACACAGGATCAGTCGCATGCATCGCTAGGGTCTCATCGTAGAGAAAGCATGCTCCAAGCTCATGACCGCGCGCCTTCAGGGAGCTCTTACGACTCCCTATTCCTTCCTAAACCCCCAGCCCTAGGGTTACAAGGCCAGGATGGTTCCAGAACCGCAACTTTAATGAGTCAGAACTACGCGTTCAATCCAAATTCTCAGCCCGAATATATGTCTCAGCCCGAGTACCCTCAGGAGTACCCTCAGGAGTACCCTCAGGAGTACGCTCAGGAATATCCTCAGGAGTATACCCCCGCCGAACCTGAGTACGCGGACGAGGGCATGGCATATTACGATCCAGCATCTGGAGCGCCCACGCGACAGTCCACGATGCTTGATTCCCAGCAGGGCTACTTTTCCGACTTTGCGGGGCAACAGCATGATGATTATAGGGATAGCTATGGAGGTGGCTTCCACCGCTATTCTCAGTCCGGGGAAGCCTTTTCGCCAACAGCAAACATGGCCCCGCCATTGATGCCTGCTGGGGCGGAACTTCAGCACGGACCGGCTATTGAGCATCTACTTCCCCTCGAACCTCGAGAGATTCCTTTCTCATTGAACGATCCGCACGACAAAAATGTCCCCATGTCGAACTTTGACAACCTGCCCGCGGTGTTACGGCATCGTGCTCGGGCTCACCCCAAGCAAGCAGCATATTGGGTGCTGGATGCAAAGGGCAAGGAGGTTGCATCGATAACGTGGGAAAAACTGTCTAGTCGCGCCGAGAAAGTTGCTCAGGTTATTCGCGATAAGAGTAATCTATACCGCGGAGATCGTGTCGCTCTCATCTACCGCGAAGCTGAAATTATCGAGTTCGCTGTCGCGCTCTTGGGCTGCTTTATTGCAGGAGTTGTCGCCGTGCCTATCAACAGTCTGGATGATTACACAAGTCTAAATATTGTGCTCACCTCAACGCAGGCACATCTGGCATTGACAACTGAGAATAACCTGAAGAACTTCCAACGCGATATCACAGCGCAGAAACTCAGTTGGCCACGAGGAGTCGAGTGGTGGAAGACGAATGAGTTCGGCAGTTTCCATCCAAAGAAGAAGGACGATACACCTGCGCTGCAGGTCCCCGATCTGGCCTATATTGAGTTTGCGAGGGCCCCGACGGGTGATATGCGTGGTGTTGTGATGAGCCACCGGACTATCATGCATCAAATGGCATGTCTGAGTGCGATCATTTCTACAGTTCCTGTGGAGTCAAGCGCTAGGCAATATAGCACTAAGGGAGAGACCATCATCAGTTACCTCGATCCGAGACAAGGAATTGGTATGATCATGGCCATTCTCTTCACCGTTTACGGTGGCCATACAACCGTTTGGCACGAGGACCGGGCTGTGGAAACACCCGGTTTATATGCCCATCTCATCACCAAATACAAGGCATCAGTCATGGCGACCGATTACTCTGGCTTGAAGATCGCCACCTACAACTACCAGCAAGATCCGATGGCCACAAGACATTTTAAGAAAAACTCGGAGCCTAATTTCAGCAGCGTCAAACTCTGTCTCATCGATACACTTACTCTCGACCCTGAGTTCCATGAAATCCTGGCAGACAGATGGCTTCGGCCAATGAGGAACCCACGGGCTAGAGAAATTGTGGCTCCGATGCTCTGCTTACCAGAGCATGGAGGTATGGTCATTAGTATGCGTGACTGGCTCGGTGGTGAAGAGCGAATGGGATGTTCCTTGACCCATGAAATGGACCCAGCCGGCCGCGATGATTATAAGAAAGAGGACGAGAGCCTTACCAAGTCTGAGACTAAAACGGGCTTCGGAAGCAGTCTTCTGGGTGGTGGATCACGAGTTTCTACGATCAAGCAGAGCCCTAAAAACGAGCTTAGCGAGGTGCTTCTAGACAAAGAGGCATTGAAGAGCAATGAAGTGGTTGTGCTGGCCATGGGCGAGGATGCACGAAAGTATGCCAGCAGTATGCCGCATGCTGTACGCGTTGGCGCTTTCGGCTACCCAATTCCTGACGCAACTCTCGCTGTCGTTGATCCGGAGACCAATCTCCTTTGTACGCCAAATGTTATTGGGGAGATTTGGGTTGATTCACCCTCTCTTTCTGGTGGCTTCTGGGCATTGCCGAAACACACAGAGGCCATATTCCACGCTCGCCCCTACAAATTCGAGGAGCCTAACCCGACCCCGATACTCGTGGAACCTGAATTCCTGCGCACTGGTCTACTTGGATGTGTGATTGAGGGCCGACTTTTCGTGCTTGGTCTCTACGAGGATCGTCTCCGCCAAAAAGTCGAATGGGTTGAGCACGGCCAAGAGATTGTGGAACATCGATACTTCTTCGTTCAACATCTAACAGTTAGCATTCTTAAGAAGGTGCCGAAAATTCATGATTGTACTGCGTTCGATGTGTTTGTTAACGAAGAACATCTTCCTGTGATTATTTTGGAGTCTTACTCGGCCTCAACGGCGCCAACAACTTCCGGCGGTCCGCCAAGGCAGCTCGACTCGGTTCTCCTTGATTCGCTCGCCGACAGGTGTATGGAGGTACTATACCAAGAGCATCATCTACGGGTATACTGTGTTCTACTTACAGCCCCGAACAGTCTGCCGCGCGTTACCAAGAATGGCAGACAAGAAATTGGCAACATGCTCTGTCGCAAAGATTTCGAGTGCGGTATGCTGCAAGCAGTGCATGTCAAGTTTGGAGTTGAACGATCAGTGATGAACTTGCCCGTCGGTGTTGACCCTGAGGGTGGAATCTGGTCCCCTACTGCTCTAGCATCACGACAAGACTTGCTTGCCTACCAGGAAAAGCAATACTCGGGTGTGGATTATCGCGATGTGGTGATGGATGACCGAACTTCCACCCCATTGAACAACTTTAACACAATTGTCGACCTTCTTCAATGGCGAGTCGCTCGCCAAGCTGAAGAATTGGCTTACTGCTCTATCGATGGCCGTGGAAAGGAAGGAAAGGGCGTCACTTGGAAGAAGTTTGACCTCAAAGTTTCTGCGGTGGCGACCTACCTCAAGAACAAGGTGAAGGTACGACCAGGAGATCATCTCGTGCTGATGTACACCCACTCGGAAGAGTACGTCTATGCCGTCCATGCTTGTCTGTGCTTGGGTGCCGTTGTCATCCCGATGGCTCCTATTGATCAAAACCGTCTTTCGGAGGATGCCCCTGCATTCTTGCACGTCATCGGCGACTTCAACATCAAGGCCATCATCGTCAATAACGATGTTGACCATGTCATGAGGCAGAAGCTTGTGTCGCAGCATATCAAGCAGTCCGCCCAGGTTCTTCGCATTGGTGTTCCTGCTATATACAATACCACAAAGCCCTCGAAGCAGTCCCACGGATGTCGCGAGCTCGGCTACACTGTGAAGGATACTTGGCTCCAGGGCAACCAGCCTGCTATGGTCTGGACTTATTGGACCCCAGACCAGCGAAGAATCTCGGTCCAAATTTCCCATGAAACCATAATGGGCATGTGCAAGGTTCAAAAAGAGACCTGCCAAATGACAAGCTCAAGGCCGGTGCTTGGAAGTGTCCGAAGTACCCTGGGTCTCGGATTCCTCCACACCTGTTTGATGGGCATTTACGTCGGTAAGTTTGCTGCTAATCTATGAACATC